AGTTATCTTTCATGGCTAGGGAATATGGCCGACTGAAATTATGCAAGCAAGTTTGTAAGTGCGAATGACTGTCAGAATTAAGAAGACCACTCGACATATAAATGTAACGGTAATTTTAAATGAAAGTTATGATAACCTTTTTTGTCGACGAGTTCAATTTGATAAAATTGACGGCGTATTACACTGTATTTATAGATAGATAGATTTATTTCGGCAAAGGAAGCATATACATAGTTGACAATATAACATAGGATAAAATAATGAGCATTATTAAATACTATATCACATACGAGTAAAACTATGACATGCTCACCAAAACCAAGGATAACACAAAAAAGGGCAAAAAAGCTCTTATTTCCATTGTGGTCCTTTGTATTGGCGGCATGACATAGAGAGGCAAACCTTAAAATAATCATGTTTAAGAATACTAATAAATCATAAAAATGTATATCACAGTCAAATCTTGAGTTAATGATACTCCTGTTTACAGCTAGGATTTAAAACACATTACTAAAATTGTAATAAGATAAATGGCAGACAATTTAAAATCCTGAGCCGAAATATGTAAAAACATGTTTAAAATTTTTTTTTAAATACTGTTCATAAGATGACTTTTGATGGCAACCTTAAAACTTTGTAACCTGTTGATCTCCGTTAACTTTACAGGTAAATCATTCCATAATTTAATACCAGAGAAAGCAAATGATTTAGAACCCTGGCCTTTGACCTTAGGTAGACAATATCCACCCTTTTGACTAAGTCTTGTACTATAATTATGAATGGAATCTTGTGAAATAAAGTGTTCAGACATGTAATCCGGAGATAGGCCATTTTTTATCTTAAAAACATGACACAACATTATCTGTTCAACTCTTTTGTGGACCGGTAACCAGTTAAGGGACTTAAAGTGGGATGGGTCAATGTGGGCTCTAGAGTCCAAGTCAAGTACAAATCTCATTATTTTGTTTGACCAAGTTTGTAACTTATTTCTTAAAGACTGTGTCAAGCTATTATACCAAACAGAGCATGCGTAATCATAGTGACACTGAATAAGAGACATAACCAGAAGTTTCTTGGTATGCTGAGTAAGAAACTCTTTCTTGCGGTAAAGAAATTTTAACGAGAGTTGGCCTTCTTAAGAAAAGACTCGGCCCCATGGCGCAAAATGACAGATTTTGGTCTATAGTAATCCCAAGATACTTGATAGATGAAGTTGATTCAATGGATGTACCAGAACAGGTTATATGCTGGTTAGATTGTGACCTAAGTTTTTGCCTGGACCCAAATAAAATTGACTCGGTTTTACCCAAATGCAATGAAAATTATTGTCCACTTTTTTAACCATTGGCTGACCAATTCCATAATCATCTGACAATGCCTTTTCAACAACAGTTTAAAATTTTACCAGATAAAAAGGGTACCAAACCTTTTAGAATTTTCCCAAAAAAAATTTAATTTTGACACAGCGAAAAATTTTTCATTTTTTTAAAAGAAAAGGGGCCCAAATTTTTACCCTTTTTAAACAACCTTTTTATTTAAAAATTTTTTTAAAAATTAATTTCCAAACATCTACACTGTGCTTATCTGTTTTTTATATTTAACCAAATTTTTTAATTTTTTCTTAATCTGATTCTTCATTTCATTAAAAGAATTTAATTTTCGCTTTTCAAACCCTTTTTTCAAATCCTTTTCAGCACTTTATACCCCAAAAAAATTTTTTTTTTACAATTTTTTTTTTTTTCCCTATTTAAAAATTTTTTTTTAATTATTTAAAACAAAATAAACGTAGAAAACCACTCCTTTTTTTTCCCATATAAATTTTTTTTTCCCAATTTTTTTATTCCTTTAAAATAACTTTTTTAAACCTTTTTTCATTTTTAAAAAAACCCCTTTTTAAAGTTTTTTTTAAAAACATTTTTAAAATTTTTTTTACCCGGGTTTTTTTCCCAAAACAATTTTTCTTCTTTTTATAGGGGAACCATCTTTCAATTTAATTTTTTTTCAGGCTTTTTACCCTTTTTTAAAAAAAATAAGTTTTATTTTATTTTTACTAACTTATACTTTTCTATTTTCTTATAAATTTTTTTTTTTTTTTTTTTTCCTTAAGCCTTTTGTTTTTTTTTTAAAATTAGTTAAATTTTTTTAAGAACTTTACTTTTTTTAGAAAACAATGGAAAAAAAATTTTTTTTTCCCAAACCCCTTTTTTGCCCTTAAAAAATATTAACAAATTTATACCAATTTTTTTGCATACTTTTTTTCAAATTTTAATATTTAAATTCAACTTTGTTTTTTAAAAAAATTTTTTTTAAATTTATTTTTTTTCCAAAAACTTATTCTTTTTAAAACCCATTTTATTTTTTAAAAAATTTTTAAAACAAATTTTTTTAATTTGGTTTTAAATTAATTTTTTTAATTTTAAACCAGATTTTAACAAATTTTCCTTTTAAAAGGGTTGAAGTCATTTTTTCTTTTTTTTTTATATTTTAAAAATTTTTTTTTTTTTCCAAAAACTAATTTTGTTCTTTTCTTAAAAATATAAAAATTTTACTATTTTTATCACCCTTTTATTTTTTTAAAAACTTATTTCCCTTTTTAATTTTTTCACTTAAAAGTTTTATTTTTTTCCATTTTCTTTTTCTTTTAAATTTCTGGTTTTTTTAACCCGTGCTTTTTTTTTTCAAACCAATAAAATTTTAACTTTTTTATTCACTATTTTACATTTAACACTTACAAAAACAGGAAACCCTTAATTTTTTTTTACATTTAAAAATTTTTATTTTAAAAAAAATTTTTCAAATCTTTTTTTTATTTTTTAAAAAAATTTTAAATTTTCTTAATTTTTTTTATTTCAAATAATAAATTAAATTTTCTTTTAATTTCTTTTATTTTTTTACAACATAATTTTTTTTTTAAATTTTAAATTTCCGGGGAAACCTTTTTTAAGTTTAAATTTTTAAAATTTTTTTTTTTTATTATAATTTTTTTTTTCCCTTTTTTTTGGAAACAATATTTTTTTTAAACTTATTTTTTATTCATTTATATTTTTTTTTTTTTTTTTATTAAATTAAAAATTTAAAATTTTTTTTTTTTTTTAACCAAAATTTAATTATTTAAAAATATTACATAAATAAACATTTAATTTCCAATAACATCAAAAAAATCGATAAATTAATCTCCTCATTCTTTTATTTTTTTCCCATTCCCCCTCATTCTTATGAGAAGTGACTTTTTTAAATTTTTAATATTTCCCCCTTTATTTTTAAAATCTTTTTCTTTTTCTTTTTTATTTTTTCTACCCCCTCCGTATTTTTATCCCCCCTCGTTGAATTTTTTTTATATTTTTCAAAAAATTTTTTTTTTTTTTTCCTCCAAAATTTAAAAAAATTTTCTATTATCTATCACTTTTTTTTTTTTTTTTTTTTTTTTTTTTTGTCCATTAATGTCGTGCTTAGGAGAAATGCGTTTTCCAAATTTGTCCCTCTTTATTTTTATTGTCTCTCTATTTTTTCTCTATAATCTGGTGTTTCTTAAAATTTTTTTCTTTTCCTGATATTGCTTTCTTTTTTCTCTTTTTTATTTTTCCTTATTTTATCTCTTTTGGTTTAATGTTGTCTTATTTTATTTAAATTTTTCTACTATCTATTAATACCTTTTTATTTCTATATAATTCTTATCTATTTATTTTCTATTTATTCTATCCTATATAATCTATAATCATTGCTGATATGTGGTACGACTTTAATTATGATAATTACATGTATCTTTTATAGATTAATATTTTTAATAAAACTAAACAAATTAATTCTTAAAACAAGGAAATAGCTATTGCTATAGGATAAAAATTAATACTAATGTCTATATATTAACTATAGTTTAGCTTAGTTTTCTCACAATGTATAATACCGAATTATTTTACCTCCCTGTTGCTTATTGGTTGAATATTTAATTTTTAACATGAGTATTTTTTAATCTTTTAAAGTAATTTTAACTCTAGAGGAAATGGATCTCTATCGTTAAACAGTTAAAATAAAGCATAAGTAGCAAAAGAATTACTAGAATGTATTTTTCCAGTTCCCTTTTGTTTGCTGCCATTTTTTAAGTATATGAAATTTTAAGTTTATCTTATTTATCCCCATAGCAATATCATAAATTACCATCGTCGAATGCACACGGTTTAATTAACATTGTAATAAACATAAATGTTACTGGTTCCACGTAGGTATCCGACGATGCATAATTATTAGCAGCCATTTGAATGATTTTTTTGGTACCTTAATTGATATCACAAAGTCTAAAACTCTTTTGACTTGCGATAAACCAAATTTTAGACGACTTAAAATGAAAGTTATAGATGACTCAAGAACTTCTTTAACTAATCAGATAATTAATGAACCATATATGGCATATACATGTACATCGGACAAATGATTTTAAAGAAAATGTTTATAACATGTTTTTGACCAAATCACCAGTCTCCCAAATGAGTCTGCACCAAGTTAAGTGGTCCTTGCCAAAATCAGGTGGTCTCGGACCAACGGACCACCGCTAATGTCGAGGCCTGCATAAGCACTGTACATTGCCACTCATAAGATAAGCTATAAAACAATTTATTTACAATGTTTTGTCACATGAACAAGATGCTGGCCCAATCTTCAAACATGCACACTTTTCGCCTGTTGCGTTAATTTTTTTGATCAAAATCTTACACCCCATGTCAGCCCCCCAGGATACCATGTTCTGTATCCGTCCCTGACTATTACATGATATTTATTTCTAATGTATGATTACCAACCGTCACTATGTTAATTATGTTTTCATAAAATCCTTGTAAAGTTGTAAATGAATATAGAGTTACTGATTTGATGGAATTTTCAGAAAAATATTTTACTTTCTCTTTCAACTGTTCAAGTAATCATTTATTCGGAAAATATGCACAAGATAAAGAGTAATCAAGCTTGTTTAAAGACAAAACCCAAACAAATAAATAGGATGCTCTTACTGCCATTGTCAGTGAAACTTATACCAGCTTGCCGTTTGGGTTTATCTGCAAATAATTCTTCTTAAAACCGAAAGTAGATTGGCTGTCGGGTACGTTACGATACCGAAATCAACTTGATTTTGGTAAAGTTACCGAAATCAACTTTTCATTACCGAAATCAACTCGTAAAAACCAAACTAGTTAATATATTTCTATTATTTTTTTTATAATTTGATGAAAAATAATGAAATAGACTTTCATCTAAAAAATCTATTGAAAATATTGTATTTTAATGATGTTAAATATTAACAAAAATGTAATTATTGAGTTACTTCCCTTTGTTTTAAACAACCCGTTATGTGTTTAGCATTACCGAAATCAGCTGTGAAGTTTATATAATTAGTAGACAAGAAAAGCATTGATGCAAAGCATCAAAGGGCGTCCAAACAGCAGGTGCAGATGAACTAGTAGATATATGATGAACAAGATATTTCTTATAAACTTTTCAATGGTTCATTGGGTTTTACCAGAATTGTATATCACTTTTGAATGAACGGACGAAAGACATTGTTCATTATTTATAACTTTGATCGGCATGCTAGAAATTAGAATATTACTTGTTATTTCTTTATGATCGTGGTTATTAATATCAACGGATATACATGTATACAATCATTTATAATCCATATGTGTAACGCATGATCAACACCATACTTGTGTAATTGTCCCTTATTATGTTATCGCTATTAACGAGGACCCCCTCTTAAGGTATCTGTTCACACTAAGTAACAATATGACACTTGTTATATTACCATGTTGATCATGTTGAGCATAATTGTTTATTATACAATAAATGTAATTTCTATTTTAATAAAAAAAATACAGATTTTATGAATATTGTTTTCTTTTCTTTTTTTTTGTGTGTGTTTTATGCGCTATTTTAATACTGAGTTTTTACGTTTACTACTATTTTAAGAATTCAATTGTCATAATGATCGACGATTATAAGTCAAAACTTAACTGGAAAAAGTCAGAAAATCATGGTTAATCTTTCAATTTATAATATTGTTTATTCTTAAACCATATACATGTACATTTGTATTTTTCTTTATCATTTTTTAAATTATCAATCAATTGAATAATTCATAAAATCTGATTTGTAACTTTGAATAATTCCTCGGAATCTTTACTAAACACGAATAACAAATTATATAAAATGTTTTAAAGTTGATAGTGTCATATTAATGCCATAAAAATGTACATTTTTTCGCAATTATTGTACATATTTATTGTTTTTATCTCATATAGATAAAATATGACATGCGATTTGTGTTGTTGGTTTTTTTTTCGAATTGTATGTTTATGTATAATAATAATCAATCAATTCGAGAGTTGATCTGTGTTTATTAATTATTGTAACCAAACTAAGTGACAAACATTCATTTTGAAAAAAAAGCTTATTTATCTGTAAAATATTTGTTCTGTTCTGTAACGATATCTACTCCAAAACCGGGAGAGACCGGACAATAAACGTGTGGTACTATTCGCCGGTCATTAGTAAATCCTGGGAGAGACCGGGAATTACCGATAGGAGTACATCCCTCTATAAATAGATTTTCGGAATATTTAGGTCATCAACTCATCATTCTATTAACAGCTTTCGGAATAACATATACCATAATAACCCACTGTGTACTACAAAATGATAAGCAAAAATACCTCGAAGAGCGCGATTTATTGACGGAAAAGGTTATTTCATTTGAAAATGTTTGCATTGCGAAATTCTCCAGTTCGCCATTCATTGTACATATCGCGACTAATTAATAATCAAGCACCCTCATACCGATCGGAATGATCGGCTTTTATTATTGGCAACTATAAAAGGCTCGAGAAGTTGCTGTCGCCCTTTCACAAAATCTCATTTCATTCCAATAGGCGCCGCGCTTCGGCGCGGACGCCAATAATAGATAAGATTACTCTAGTAGAGCTCTTTTATATAGACATATTTCTGTTTTGAAGTTTCAACCATATCTTAACATTATCAATGTTGAACGGTTTTGTAAAGATCTCACTAGGTTATATAATTATATAATGTATATAATGATTTAAGAAAAAGTCTGATAACGCCATATTAGCATGTAATATCTGCATGTCGTGCATGACAATTTTCTAATCAAATCGTATTTTTAAAAAGCTATGATCGGACTATGATGGAAAAATAAAATATTCTGTAATATGAGTGAAAGATATTTATAAATTTTGTACATGTTTATTTTTTATGAAGAAAAAATATCCAACTTCAAGTTTATGATTTTCTATTATAAATTTGAATACAGATATAGAATTCGACTGCTCTAAAAATGTTCCATTAAACTTGTATAATGTATCAGGCAGTAAAATTGGAAATTGGAAAGTTTGTGTCTTTCTTTTATTAAACAGTTAAACTATATATTAACAAATTGCTAACATATGTTATGAGGACTCTTTAATATAATATTTTTAAATTTTAGTCATTTATTTAAATGTTTATTACGACATAATCAGATGGTTCATTATAATATTTTATCTTTAACATACATTGTATGCCAACTGTACCTCCTGTCTTAATTACTTCACACCTTATTTTATACAGTAATACACAACATGTCAAATCGTACAAGTTACAACATTTCATTATTGAAATTTGTCAGTATAAACAGGTACGTATATTAATATACCTGGTATAAAGTGTTCCATTTTTTCCATCATTTAAATATATACCAGTCATTCCATAAATTTATGCTGTTTACAGATATGAAATTTAAAATGATTTTAAATCGATCAACATAAAATCATGACTTAACACTTTTTTCAATAAGTAGAATATGTAGTTAAGTATCCGGGACATCAAAAATTGCATACAATTTTGGAACAACTGATATGTTTTCTACGGAAACGTATAACGATCACCCCTATATGTTAGTTAAAACAGATTTTGACAATTAATTTAATATAAAATTATATTTTTACCAGCTTACTAGATCTGAAATATTTATACCATAAAACTATATAAAAAAAAGTATTTTGATACATATCATATAGGGATGGTCGCTATACGTCATTTTATTTTAAACTGTAATGTACTTTTTGTCTTCATGGAGACAAGCAGCTTTAATTTCATGTAATATAATTATGTCTAATTATGTTGTTTGGAAACTTTAAAGTTCCCATGCGCCGATGTAAATTAAAGGATTGCGGTGAACGAGTATGTTATGTCAACTAACACCACCATTGTCCGAGCACGTGTATGCTTGCTCCTTATTTGTAAAGGTGTTATGATGAATGGCTACCGCTACATCTTTTTATTTTAATCAAATCATAATCATTGGATTCATATTAAATACTGTGATAATTTCCAATAAACTATTTCTGAAATTCATGCAAATTATTTAGGGGTTGTTCTCATCTTTGAAATGAAATCTGATTTGATTTCGGTAATGCAACACATTAATAACAAGGGAAGTAATCATGATATAATATACATATCCGTCTATAACATCATCATTTTTATAATTAAATATTATTTTCCTTTGTTTATGGTTCAGTTTGAATGACTTTATATCAATTAATTAAACAAGATTTATTAAAATGTTTATTTTAACTTTTACAAGCCGATTTCGGTATGGTAACATATATTTCGGTTCGTGACAAATCAGGGAAGTAATCTTGATATTTAGTTATTTGTTTCTAATTTCATTATAAATAATTATTTCGAACTGATTTTTTTGCATGAAAGTCAAACTAAACATATTGTAATAGATTATAATGGAAAAAATATAATAGAACGCTTAATTATGATTTTACAAGTCGATTTCGGTATTGTAACATATATTTCGGTTTGTGACAAATCAGGGAATAATCTTGATATTTAGTTACTTGTTTCTAATTTCATTATTAATAATTATTTCGAACTGATTTTTTGCATGAAAGTCAAACTTAACCTATTGTAATAGATTATTATGAAAAAATATAATAAAACGCTTAATTGTGATTTTATAAGTTGATTTCGGTAATGAAAAGTTGATTTCGGTACTGTAACTTTACCGAAATCAAGTTGATTTCGGTATCGTAACGTACCGTTGGCTGTCTCGTCTTTTTCACAAATGATACGCATGCGCATTCCTGATGAAAGACGCAATAAATCTGGTTCCCTGCTGTCCTATTATTGTATCCGAAATGCACAGGGGCCCAATCTATATAGGTGTATAGCTGCTAAATTTTTCTCACCTGCCTGACTCGGAACAGTCAACGTCAACAATATTGAAATTGCATAAAGTGCAAGTAAAACGGAGGGAATCCAACGCTTAAACAATAATGCGTCAAAAAAAGGGAACATCCTAAAGATTAACCCATACCCACCATTAACCAACATTGTATCTATAGATAGGTGTTTTCCTCGGACCGCAGCAAATTAAATCATCTGAAGTCATTCCTGTACTATCATATAGTATGACTGTTTATTGCAATCATTTGCCACCTAACGTGTCACACTGAAGATTCAATGATAATGTTCAGTCGTATGAATACATCTGCGGATGTTTCAAAATTCCAAATTTTACTTATATTAAACGTTGAATTCTGCTTAAGCCGGAGCTCTCGGGGCGTGGACGGTAACTACTGTTCATGAACAGGCTCTTAATTTAGTGGCCAATTAGATCCTTGTATTTATAAACCCGCCTCTGTGTACTGATAAGCCTGCCTCTGGCTAGCCTCTGCATGTATGTTTATATTTCATTTATTGTTGAGCCTGTACGTGATTGTGAGCTAGCGTATCTGTATAATTTTATGAAACTACTAACCGACGGTCTCACCCCATTGACGGTCTTCGACAGTCTTTAAGAATATATACAATTGGGCGTAAACTAACACATTTTTATAGATTTTTAAATTAAAAATATCGAGATTATACTACTACTTATAATATATAGAGGGAGTTCATGTAACATAAAATCTTAGACCTTAAACAAGAAAATAAAAAATAAAAAGGAAAAGAAAAAGGAAAAGAAAAAAGAGAGAAAAAACATGGTTTTGCTTATTGACCAGCTAAATTAATTAATAACTATATAATATCCATTAAATT